GATTTCCGCTCGATCAAATTGCCTTCAGTTATCTTAATCGAGTTTTAATGCGGCTGAATTGTACAGACGAATATTTCCGGTCGCGATGACAAAGATGTTCAAATAAAGGTATTATCAGCCAATAAAAGCTAATACACGGAGATCGTGCATATATTGTGTCAATTATTGATTGTATTGATTTATTGCACTACGATTTCCGCGCATTGGCTTTTATTGGCTCATGATATCTTTATTCGATCGGATATCAACAGGGTCTTAACTTTATCTTTAAGCCTTTTACACTGGACGTTTATAAAAATGAGAAAGTGTTAAAGCTGTTTTACTTGAGAAATATTTATTCTCCGCTTATTTATAACATAGTCGTCGAGAAATGTCAGATAAAATTGTTATAAATTGAAATATGTTTTTCGGCAAATAACTCTGTACAAATCCGAGCATCTACGTGCGATCGCATATATTAGTCTTTAGCTGAAAAGACATTATTTCACGAAAAATATAATTTCATTTAGGATGGATCAATAATATTGACGGAGCCATTACTTTACCGACAAACTAAATTTGACGAAGGCTCAATTAACGCACATTATTATTTACACTGGGCCTTAAAAGGTAAAAAAGAATATCATTCCTCGTCATCGAGCTTTCGCCTGATCTCCATTCAGTTACACGAACTGAGACATTTCCCCGTGCACTTTTACGGGAGGAACTAGACCGGTAAGATCGAAACGTTTACGATCGATCAGACGGTCGTTTTCTCTTGAAAACGAGCTAAACGCGCACGCCTTCTCCCTTGCGGACGAGGCACGTGCTCCGTATTGTCACGTGCAACGTCATGACGTCACGAACAGCGCGCTGCTCCTCGTCTCGAGGTGTGTAGCGGCGGCGGTGGTTTACGTCTCGGTCTGGGCTCGAATTTTCAAGCTTTCGTAATAGAGAAAGGAGGCGAAAGATCGCGGCTGGAAGATACGAGACGCGTTCACGCGGTGTCTTCTTCGTGACATTTGATCCGCCGTCAACGCCGTTCTCCGGGTTGGCTGGCGGATAAGCTTGCGAGCTCGCTCGCATTCGACACGAATACCAAACGCCGTTGGAGATTTCCGCGGAGAGCCTCGAAAATACCTCTCGAAACTATCCAGTACTCGTGGTACTCGCCATCACTTTCGCTTCCGTCTCTCGCGCACATCTTCTCGAGAAGCCCGGTTTCGGCAACGTCATCGTCGGCTCGCTTCGATCGCGCGTGCGAGAGGCCGGTTCGGCTCTTCGCTCCCTTTTCCCCACTTCCTTTCGCGACGACGAGCGTCGTCGAGAGTCCGGGGCGATATTGAAGTTAATATCGGAGCAACGCGAAATTAGATTGCGACAGCCGTGTAAGCCCAAGTCAAAACCGCTCATTCAAGTTAAAAGACGGTTCCTTAAGACCTTAATACGCGTTGCAGTTGCAATCTCTCTCTCTCTCCTCCTCCTCGTCGATATTGCCGACGATATTGCGGCGCGCTTGATTCGGAGTACAAATGACTCACACACTCGCAAAGCCGGCTTGCACAATCGCGCGCTCGATCACGGGAAGAGAGAGAGAGGGGGGAGGGGGGAGATAAAGCCCGCGGAGAATAATTCTCCGCGGAATTTCCAGCCGACATAACCGCCGATGCGGAATATGAAGCTCGCCTGTCCGTTCGCGGACGTGGCCAATAAGTCACGCTCGTCCTCGCCGAATTGTTATCGTCCTTCCCTTCCGGATTCTCATACGTTAGTTCCATTATTAATAATACGTCATCGATGTTGCGCAATGACACGCCTCGTTCCGGACGCGACATAGCGGCTCGTCGCCGACGGTTCCTCGACGCTGCCCGAGTCGAAATTTTAGATCTACTTCCGACCCGAATTTTCTATCATCTGTAGGTTCTGGAGGGTCAGTGTAGATTGAATTTATGTGAAAATTTATTTGGTTCTACTCTTAACTTAGAAAATAGAGCTACAGTTTTAACTGGGGAGGTTGAATAGAATCAAACGAGGTTCGTATAAGCTTCAGAGTGACTCAAAGTAGACATTAAACGGAGTTTTCAGGTTGAGGATAGGATCAGAATCTCGACTCGGGTGCTGCCGATGCCGAGTCGAAATTTCAAGTTCTACATTAAATACGCGAGCAGAGGAAACGTCAAAGTACGAAATACATTCACTTGTAGCATCAAAGAGCGCAATAAGTGCTCTTTTAATGTTACAATGGGAATTTAGTCTCCTCCGGAGACTAAATTTTACTTCTAAATGAAGTGTTCAAGTGGAGAAAACGGCAATAACTTCTTCATTTGTAGCACCAAAGGAGCACAATGGAAGACTTTTCAACACTTTAATATAGAATTAGACTGTGAATAGAACTAAAATTTCGAACTCGGAATGTTACACGCGTGTCGGGCGACGCGCGCGCTACTTCCAATGACGTTTAACAGATGTTTAATGGCCGTGTGCGAGGGATTACCGTGACCCCGTATCTCGCGTTAAACGTGGTTACCCGCTCGAGTCGAGCAGAGCAGGCGAATAAAAGGAGACTCCGAAACACGGGGCACTCGGCCGCGCGTTACGACGGTTACGGTGAAGACGGAGGCTGTGCTTTTTCGTTTACAGCGGCGTCGTGGTCACTAAGAGGGAAACGATCTTTATCTACGCTCATTAAGCGAAGGTAGCCGATCATTTCGGAGATAATTTGTCATTTGTGAGCCGCCGGTGAGCCTATCGTCGTAAATTTTACTCTCGTGCTCACGGCTACCGGGCCGTGATGTTTTTCGGACGCAAGCGAAACGGCATACATCGCGCCCTCGTAGGTCAGTCGGAAATTTATCCCAAGCGGGAGCCGCGGGAAGCCTAAGACCCCCGTATTAATGGCCGTTACTTGAAACTTGCCTCGAGTGAGATATCTCGGGTCTGAATATAGAATTGGAGAATCCGAGTTTCTCGGCTGAGAATCGCGATCATAAATGTAACCGCACACGCGTCATACTGTGATCGACTACAAAACTCGCAAATCTAAATTCAGAGTCGAGTATCTCGTGCGAGATAAGTTTCGTGTTACGACTGTTGACACGACTGTCGATGATCTTACCGGTAACCGAGGCTATGGTACTACCGCGTCTCATTAACACGTTGAGCGCCACGCGTATTTCTAAGGCAATCCCGTTCAGGCCACGCTCGCCGCTTAGAAGCGCTGGTATTGCCACCGATGGCTGACGTGGCCTAAACGGAAAGTCTAGTGTCAGCCACCGATGGCTGACGTAGCGCTCAACGTGTTAAGTTATACATAAAATATAATTGATTGCGCGTGTAAAAGCGGCTTTATGGCCAATAAAGAGCCGATGAAACGAGGTGGAAAATGTACGCGTCCCTACATAGAAAAACAATCAGTATCGAGGCTCATTCGCCTATGCGTAAGCGAGAATATCAAATCTTTACATGAAGATAAACTGTATACATTCCTGTAAATCAACGAGAACTTAAATAATGATGTCAAATGAACAATTGGAAATTCTTCCCGCAATTCTAGCACTGTAATAACAATTATTCTTCGATAATTTATATAATAAAATATTTCCATTTTTTTATAAAAACTATATAATACGTTTTGCTAGTCTCCCTTGTAAATATTATATATTTTAACATATTTAAATTTCCATGTTTATTACTTGAATTAATTGTGACGGGACTCAAAGATTTCTACGTAAACAACGGGAATTAACGCGACAGTAATCGTTTTAACACGGACTTCTAAGAGACTCTTCCGATCTCGGACGACGAAGGCACGCGTGTTGTCGCCTTGACAGCCTGAACGTCACCGAGGCACAACTTTTGACAGGACCTCCTCCCCGGGAGGATCGCGCGCCTTGGCTTTCTCACGTTGTGCAACGCCGAAAACGGCTCTCGTGCGTCATCGCCGAGAAAGAATATGCGGACGCGCGAGGGCAGCGGTCGGCTGCATGACGCATGCTGAAAAGTACGAGACAACGACATCGTCGCGGGAGAACGGTGGATGCGCGGTGTGATGCATGCAAAAGATGCCGGCGGGGCGCGATATCGCGATGCCCTCCGATGACTCTTCTGTAATCGCGGCCGGCACGGTTAGATCCCGGCCGACGACGACGAACAGCGTGTCGCTGCTGCGGCGATAGTAAAACCGATTGTTTTAACGCCCGGGTGAAAATAGAATCGCCGTTGTCGTTGCGCGAGTTGGCGGACTGCCGAGTTCTGCGATTCGATTTGCTCGAATTACGGGCCGATACGCGCCGTGAGAGGCGATCATGGTCAGGCCGAAGAGGGAAACGATTACGTTACACAACGTGTGGGTTGTTGTTAGTCCGACTCTCCCACCGATCAAGAGTGAAGGATCCCAAGTATCGGGATCGCGATTGGTGATCGCCGTGCGCAATACCCGATGAGAGAACGACAGATCTATTATAATCTCGTGTACAATTGTCTCTCTCGCATCGGATACGCGGCATTTCGTGGAACGATTCCCGCGATTGTAAAGGTTAATAGACAGGAGAGCGGTGGAAGAGGTGGAAGTTAAATTAAATACCGGTGGGAAGGACGAGATCGGACAGCTTAAGTTGAAATGAAATGAAGGTTCAACTGCGTCGAAGAAAAAAAATTTGAGAGATCCCCGTCTCTCTCTCTCTCTCTCTCTCTCCCTCTCTCTCTCTCTCTTGATTTTTCTCTCTCCGGCGCATACATAATAAATGTTTATTTATAAAGTCGACGGAGCCCCGTTTCGTGCGTTCTCTAGTGCTATGAATACCGTGATGTTTTGAAACAAAAATATCGCGTCTGCGACGAGACGAGGAAAACGATTAAGAAAAGAAAAGAATCGAAAATAGAGGGAGAGGGAGAGAGAGAGAGAGAGAGAGAGAGAGAGACCGACGCGCACGGATTGCGTAAGATTTTTCGAGGATGGTCGCGCGGAGAACTGGTTGGTGAACGCGTCTCTCTCTCTCTCTCTCTCTCTCTCTCTCTCTCTCTCTCCCCCATTCGCGGAGCGAATAAATAAACGGAACTAGCGCAAGTTCGGCACGACTCGCTCAATTCGGACGGGAGAGAACGAGGACTTTTGTGCGTCGTCCGGACGATGATGGGCGCGTTCGCTCGTCATCGCGAGCGCGAAGATCTGCGCGATGGGAGCGGAGGACTCGTTCGTGCACTACTTGTCGTGGTCGTCGCGCGCGTGACGTCAACGCCTCGTTGGCATGGCTTCTTATCGCACCGAGATACAGCGGGATAATCGAATCCACGAGATACCGTGGAATTTGCATGTTAGCGTTAACGCGTCGCAGATAAACGCGAGACTGCTCTTGCGAGAGAACGACGGCGTGCAGCATTACGAGTATTAAACCTGAGACGCGAACAAGAGCTTTCCCGTGCAAATTATCCTTAACCTGAGCTGAAGAACCGATCGGGATATTGCTTCGGGATTGTTCCGAAATTGTTTCGTCGTTTTTCATCAAATTAGCGTATGTAACGTTTATTGTATTTTCAAAAAAAAAAAAGATGAACTCTCTGTTAGTCGCAATCGTAGTCGTTATTTTTCACCGATGGTGTATCTCATAGATACACTAATTTTTCCATTACTTTTCTCTGCTTCTTGAAACAATTTTTCTTTCATTAGCTAGCTAATAGGCCAATAAAAGAAGTAAAATTGGCAGCACGTGAAATTACCAATGCTTTACGTAGCTTCCAGCAGTAATTCAGCCGTTGGTGTCAGAAGTTGGATACTTGTGTATTGACGATAAGCAATTCTTATTACAACTGAGCGAGTAAATTAAAACTACTTTATCTATCTTTTTTTTCCGCGCTTTATATATGTCGTCTCGATTACCTCAACAGCCAGTCCCAACCAGTTTTTTTTACACGTTCCGTTCGATCGCATCGAATACAACAATTATATATCTTCAGCAACCGCGTGTCAAGAACTGAGTTACCAGTGAGAGATATGAAACGCAACATCAGTAATTGTCGCTACTGCCAACTTCATCTCTTTCACTGCTGGCGGCCAAATCTGTTTTGAAACATACCCTTGGTCGATGGAGTTGACAGTACAACTATAATTCAGACCGAGTAACTCAACCTGTTGAATTCCAGTTGTTTACGATTTCGATCGTCGGTTCTATTTTCTCTTCCGCAATGAGAAAGCTCCAGTTCCCGAATGCATTGTATAGCGGAATCTAATTTCCCGTCTTGATCCTGAGATACACGCCTGACGTGAGGAAATCTCGTTTTCCAGGCATCGACGATCGACGGCCGTCGGAAAGGCGCCTGCCTGTTCTGCCAGGAGTACTTCATGGACCTGTACCTCCTGGCGGAGCTGAAGACGATCTCGCTGAAGGTGACCACCGTCGACATGCAGAAGCCGCCGCCGGATTTCCGCACCAACTTTCAGGCCACACCGCCGCCTATCCTGATCGACAACGGCGACGCGATACTGGAGAACGAGAAGATCGAGCGGCACATCATGAAGAACATTCCCGGCGGGCACAATCTGTTTGTACAGGATAAGGAAGTGGCCACTCTCGTGGAGAACTTGTTCAGCGTGAGTCTCGCTTTTCCTCCTTTTAATCCGGTTGATGAAAGTGAAACTAATCGGGCGACCGAACTGTTGCCACCGTTGAACTGTGTCTATTTCGCTCTCTTTCTCTCCCACTCTCTCTTTCTCCAACGAGAGACGAGAAACTAGCATGCCAGACCACGCTGACCGCGTTGCTCGCTTCCTTGCAGAAACTCAAGCTGCTGCTGCTGAACGCCAAGGACAAGGACAGGGATCCCAAGTCGTCGTCACTGATGGCGCATCTGCGCAAGATCGACGAGCATCTGGGCCGCAAGGGCACGCGCTTTCTTACCGGTGACACCATGTGCTGCTTCGATTGCGAACTGATGCCGCGGCTGCAGCACATCAGGGTCGCCGGCAAGTACTTCGCCGACTTTGAGATACCGGACACCCTGGTGCACCTCTGGCGGTACATGCACCACATGTACAGGCTCGACGCTTTCTTGCAGAGCTGCCCGGCCGATCAGGATATCATTAACCACTATAAACTGCAACAGGTGAGGCGCCCCCCCCCCCTCTTCATAATTGCCGACCGATTGA